CCTACCGAATGTGTAGGATCTAGAAAAACCTAAGTGAACGGAGAAGTTCATGGAGGTAGGCCTAGGCCCATTGGGGCTGTAGTGCCAAGAAAAAAAAAAAGAACTTCAAAGACAATAATTTTATATGGAAAATCATGGGCTCTGTTATGCAATTCTTTTATGAGTAGTGAGAAAGATATGTCCCTTGATAATAATTTGGTATGCTACTGAAGTTGCCATGTGGCCATAACACATATAATTTTAATCACATTATGTTGGGAAATTATACGGCCAAAAACACAGAATTTAATACTTTGTCAAAAATTTTTTTTATAACATGGGTGTGTAAATTATGCAGAGGAGTAAATTTATAAGTAAATACAATAACTAAATAGTACTATCTTCTAGACTGGAACACCATGTAGGCCTGTAGAAGTTCATGAATGTTCCAGCAGAATATCTGTTTCATCTTCTGCCCTGAAGAAATGCTAAGCAAGCAATGAGCAACAGGCAAACTCATCTCCCTGATGTTTGTTTTTTTCTCATTGCTTGCTCAGAATACAAGGTGGTTCAAACACGACGGGACTGATTTGTGTGTAAACAAGCCGCATTGCACAGCAGCTGCGCAACCTTGAGAGAGTGAAGCCACAACCTCCACCCTCCCTCCTGTTTGGGTTAGAACCTGTTCAGTCCTGTCTGGGAGTTGCAAGAATGATGAGTAAACAGAAGGTACCGTGGAGCATGGGACAATGCACTGTGCTCAAACTCCTCGTTGGAGAAAACGTCCCGTCCGCTGAAATTCACCACAAACTACAACAACAGTATGGGGAAGAGTGTATCTCATGGACCCGTGCGTTTGAGTGGCGTAAGTGCTTCAGAGAGGGCAGAGAGCACATGGAGAATGAACCACATGATCGTCGGTCACGAACATCCATCACCGAGCCAAACAGTGATCGTGATAATAGGCACATCACTATCAAGGAACATGGAGCAATAATGTCCATCAGTGTTGGTAGTGTAGAAGACACCACCTGCACTATCACAAGGTGAATGCACGGTGGGTACCACGCACTTTGATGGATGTGAACAAAATGGTGCACATGCAAGCTGCCAGTCGTCTCCTACAGCAGTTTGAAGATGAAGGTGATGCATTTTTGAAGTCTATAGTGACCACCGATGAAACGTGGGTGCGCTACTTCATTCCCGAGTCCCAGCAGTCATCACGCGAGTGGTGGCATACCAGTTCTCACAAACCCAAGAGATCACGGAGGAGCCGTTTGGCAGGAAAAGTGATGGCAACATTCTTCTGGGACTGGCAGGGGGTTATCCATGTAGACTTTCTGACAGATGCCAACACAGTCAATGCAGCTTATTACTCAGACCTCCTGCCAACAGACGTGAAGGAAAAGTTCCGATCCATGCGGAAGACAGGTGGAAAGTGGGTAGCCTTCCTTCAAGAGAATGCATGCCCCCATACAGCCAACACAACAATGGAAACCCTCTGGAAATTGAAATGGAACCTTCTGACACATCCGCCGTACAGTCCCAATTTGGCCCCAAGTGATTTCTACCTGTTTGGAAGACTCAAATCAGACTTGAAAGGCATGTGGTTTGTGGACAACGATGCCGTCATCCAGGCTATTCGGGAGTGGATATGCTGCCAACCACAAGGCTATTTTGAAAAAGGCATCAGGATGCTTCCTGAACGTTGGAAAAAATGTGTTGACTCCAGAGGGGAGTACGTTGAAGACTGACATGTACAAGTAAGTGTTTGGCAATTATGGTTTAAAAAAAAAACAGTCCCGGTCATATTTGAACCACCTTGTATCTTCAACCCTTAAGATGGAGGTAATCATTCCTTCAAAACATCAGTGAACCTCTACTGGACTACACAGCATCATATCCCAGAAGGTTCTAGTCCTTAGAGTCACTGATGTGAGAACCTCAGATCCAAAATACAGAAACTGTTCACATATTATCAAATCTTATTCCTTTTAGGGATTTTTAAGCTTAGGGAAGAGAAGAAGTCCTAGTGGGCCGCATCCAGTGAGTAGGGGATTCCGTCTCTCTTGTGGAATATTGCATTTATCTAAAAACTGACATAATAGCTGGAAGGAGTGATCATTGTCAGAGGAAATTTACCATTGGAGGGATTCACACTATTTTGGCTATTTACAAAGCACGCCAACATCGAGATATCTCAGCATGTGTAAATAAGAGTTCATCATTAGCCTGACCCCCCAAAAAATCTTCTAACCTGATGATGGAGGCAGTATATTCCTCCAGAATGTTGGCAAACTTCTATTGGACTATAGGGCACCACATGTCAGAAGAGAGGCATCGTCATGAAACCTCAAATATTACAAACGATCATGCCGTTTCCACATTTTCCACAAACGTTATTTATTTTGTCCATGAAACCTTTGGGTCATTTGTTCTCTGTAACACTTCCCAAAGATCAATTCTACTTACATTAACATAAGCATTTTCAATATCAGCTAAAAGCCAAACATTTGAGTCTATCAAATTTCCATCTTTGTCTATTACCTGTCCAACTACAAAAATTAAATTAACTGTTGATATCCTCTAATTTTACTTTCCATCTGTCTCCTTAATTTCAAATTTATAATTCTGTCATATATTTTTAAATCACAGCTAAGTAATGTAATTCCTCCATAATCTTTGTATTGTTTATCTGGAGTTTAACTTCAAAACCCCACTACCATTCTCTAGGACCATGTGTAAGTACACATACATATAGGCTGTCTGACAATAAAGTTCACAAACTCATCACGGTGAAAGTGCTACATACCGCATTGCTGAATATTACTGTGGTTGCCTTCAAAGTACTCCCCTTAGGAAACTATGCACTGATGCCTGTGCCTAGTCAGCCCTTCAAAACAATTTTGGAACTGGTTTTGTGGAATGGCCGTTGTATTATTCCTGATGTCATTAATGTCTTCAAAATGCCTTCCTTTCAATACTTACTTCAGGAAAAGAAAAAGTGACTGAGGGCTAGATCCAGTGAACAGGAAGGGTGTTCCAGTACAGGTATTTGTTTACTAGCTAGAAACTCCCTCACAGACAGTGCTGTGTGAGCAGGTGCATTGTCATGACAAAAGATCCATGAGATGTTGGCAAAAAGTTAGTTCATTTCTGTCTAATTTTTTCACACAGGCTTTTCAGTACTTCCAAATAGTAAACTTGCTTGACTGTTTGTCCAGTTGGTACAAACTCACAATGAACAATCCCTCCAATATCAAAAAAAGCTAGCAACATTGTTTGACTCTTGATTTGGATTGTGGAACGTTTTTGGTTATGGAGAATTGGCAGTCTTCTATTGTGCGCTTTGCCACTTGGTTTCAGGGTCATATTGGCAGACCTATATTCCATCATCTGTGATGACATGGCTCAAAATGTTATCTTGCCTCTCCAAAAGGTCTTGGAAAATTTAAACTTTTCTTTGCTTTTGTTCTTCAGCAAGCTCCTTTGGGACCATTTTTGCCCACATTTTCCTCATGTCGAGATTTTCAGTTATGATTTTCCTAGCTGTTTCTCTGTTGATGTTCACGTGCTCTGCTATGCTCCTGACAGTCAGCCGACAATTTTCATGCACAATTTGATGAACCTCTGCAATGTTTTCTTCAGTTCTGCTCATTGCTGGCTGTCCTCATATCTCTTTGTCAGTGATACTTTCTCTTCCTTCAGAAAACATGTCACCTTCTTGTAAACTGCTGTTTTCTTCATAGTATTATCCCTGTAAATTTGCACTAACTTCTCTCTGATTTTGCTTCCACTCTTGCCAAGTTTGACAAGAAATTTATGTTCATTCACTGCTGTAATTTAACCTCCGACATTCTCACGACGGCACACCAAAACACACTCAGAAAAAGACTGCCATATGTCAACAACAACAGAGCTGTGAAATACTGATATGCCAAGGTCATCAAACCATACTGAGGTTTGTGTCCATTGCTGCCATGGAAAGCACATGGTGGTGAGTTCGCGAACTTTATTGTCAGACCTTCTATGTTGCTCTTCTTATCAGGTATGCATGTAGGCAAACAGCTGATGTGTTCTGCAAAATAACTGATGTTTGTTGACAGACCTATCAAGTCACACATCTGCCAATGCATCAAACATTTTGAATTTAGGCAAAACTGATTATGACAGCACTGAAAAACATGCTTCTAATAAAAGCGATACACACAGTTAATAAATGACAAAAACAATTGTAATCTTTTATTACTTAGTGCATGTTTGCAGTTCAGTTAGGAAATATAAACCAGTTGAAATATCCACTTAGAAAGAATTCTGAAAAATTAATGAAGTTCAGTGTGAGTGCCACAGATGCTTTGAGCACCATCAAACTAATATTTAACTTCCTGCCACACTTTCAGAGAATATCACTGTCAATTTTGCACAAACCTCTGTGATCCATGATCTGAGCTCTTCTACTGCCATCAGCAATGGAAGGACATAGACACCACCCTTAATAAACCCCCTGAAGAAAAAACCAAGGGTGTGAGATCTGGTGATCTCAGGATCATTGCTGCATCTTCAACATCACTGCAAAGATCTTCTGACTGTCCCTTTTATGTTCAAATGACTCTGGGAAATTTTCACTACAATAGATCCACAAATTGTGCTGATACATTCATCCTGGCAAACAAAATGTTGCCTCAACAATGAAGACCATTTTGCAATACTGATAACTGGGGCTCCATCTGGTTACCAGAGTGCACAGTAGGCTGCAACCTATATGTCACACTGAAACTTTTCAATTAATCTATCCATCTGGTATATATGTATTTTAACTGTACATTAAACATGCTCTGAGTAATAAATTATTAAAATTGTAAAGATTATATACAGGCAACCTCTGTGCATGCCTGTGTTTGTACACATACAGGCGTGCATACATGCGTTTGCACACATATTATCCCACCATCTGTATGTTTCTTATACACTGTTATACTTTGATCATTAGAATATAATGAATTTAAATTCCTCAGCCTCACCTTTTGATAAGTCCCAAAGTTTCACTCTCCTATCTGCCCCTCCAGTGGCCAAAATGCGATCCACAGGACTCCATTTCACAGCATTTACATCTCCATCATGAGCATCCTGCACAAAATAACAATTTGCAACACAACAATAAGTATATGATAATTAAATAAAACTATGTGAAAACAAAGTGTATGTGTAAGTGTAAGTGTAAGTTTCACTCCTTCTACAACACTAATGCTGCTTTCTTACGTTGGAATGAAACTGAAACGAAGATTGCTCTAGCAATTACCACAGAAATTTCATAAAAAAAAATGTTTAATTCCTTCCATCAGGACAGTTTCAAAGCAAGAAATCTGTATCATAACCAGATAAACACAATTAGCACAGATTCCTGTACTGATTTTGAAGAGAACCATGATGAAAGCATGTAGACAAACCACATCAGAAAGCAAAGCAAGAAACTTCTTGCTGTGATGACCGTTAAGAACTATGTGGGGGGGGAGGATAAAGCTATCCCTAACAGGCTGTGGAGGACCACAGGATTGCAAGATGTCAAAGCTCTCACATTTTCTAAACAGTCACCTCACAGATGGTGGTGATATTGACAGTCTCACATGCCAGCCGCCCTTTACCCCCCACAAAGATTCCTGGTACTCATTTCTGTTAGAGGCTGAGTCCCTCAATTCATGGAGATAATTCGTTTCATGATAATTGTTCATCATGTGAAAATTCATAAATAAGGAATGATGTTCCCATTACTTTACATGTAAATGTCGCTGACTCCTTCACAAGATCCAGGAAAATCTCCCAATATTTTTATCATATATTTTAATAGTAAATAAGCATTAAAATAAAGACAGTTATTACTTGTTTATGATACTTATTGTCAGAAATAGAACTGTATTGTTTTATTCATGTTTATTTTCTCACAGCTGATTCAATGCAATAATGCAACTTGCAGCCCACCTTCTTACTGTCCTTACCAATTTCACTTATTTTGGAGCCAGACACAAATAACAAGGTATTTATAGATAAAATGTAAGCATAAAGAGCATAAATGATTCTGTATCATCACAGTGATGTCCACAGACAAACTGGGACTTTGGGGGGTGTTCGTTGGTGGAGATGTCTTCTTCTCCCAAAGTGCTGTGTACCAGTTATCACCATCTAATCAAAAATGAGTATTGTAAATTCTGTGTTCTCATTTTCCATTACACACAACGAGACCTGAATAGAAGTTTCAAACTTCTAAGAGATTTAGTATTGTACAATTTCAGTCTTCCAAACTGAATAATACAATATAATTCAAAATGAAAACTGCCAAAAAAAAACAGCAAATAACTTCACTCCAAATGAAGATACATGCAAATGGTTGGCAGTGAAAAATGTAAAAACTCACTAAGTGTTGCATTTGTGACAGTTGGTAACACCACAACACATGTGATACAGCTGTCAGTTTGTGCAAAACTGTATTACTGGCTGGAAGAATTTAAATTTCCTGTGACTGATCAGTGCAAGTTTCATCAGAAGCACAGCCATAATCAAACAAATAGACACAAAACTGTTAAATGGCACCAGCGCCTGCTGCATCATGGGAGTTTCACATGACATGGTGCAGGCAGTAAACTAAAGACAACACCTGAACCAGTCAAAGCCATTTACAAGCTTTCCAAAGAAGTCCACCCAAGTCCATTTGATGAGTGAGCCACAAATTGTGAATTCCTCATTCAACAATCCACTATATAAGAAGGGCATTCCATTTATAATGCCTCCTATTTTTTTGTGTTAATGTGTAACGTCTGAGCTGGATGTTGGTGGTGTTGCAGTAAAGGTTGAACCTTCCCGCCAATGTACTGTTAGTTTGGTTGTCATGCAACAGATAACAACAGAAGAGCAGTCTACCAAAATGTCGTCTGACATAGGAGTGCATACGAAACAGAGATGTGTTATTCAATTTCTCACTGCCGAATAAATTGCACCCACTGACATTCACCAACGCTTGCTAAAGGTTTATGGAGATGATACAGTGGATGTCAGCACAGTGAGGCAGTGGGTAGTGCGTTTCAACAGTGGCGAAAGCGAAGTGCACGACAAGCCACGCCCTGGGTGTCCCTGCTCAGCTGCCACTACTCACAATGAACAGCACCTCGATCAGCAAATCTGTACAGATCCGCAGATAATGACCAGGGAATTGTGTGCACAGCTTAATATCGGCTGTAATGCATTGGAAACGATGTTGGGGAAGCTGGATTATCGCAAAGTTTGTTCCAGGTGGGTCCCGCGGATGCTTACACAGGACCACAAAACTCATCAAATGGAAGTCTGTCAGGACCTGTTGCACCAGTTTGAGGTTGAAGGCAACAAGTTTCTGGACAGCATCATCACCAGAGATGAGACGTGGTGTCACCACTATGAGCCAAAATCCAAAAGACAGTCCACGTAGTGGCGACATCTGGATTCCCCAAGAAAAAAGAAGTTCAAGACACAGCCATCAGCAAGGAAAGTGATGTGCACGGTCTTTTGGGATAGGCGGTGTGTGATTTTGTTGGATTTCCTGGAGCCTGGTGAGACTGTCAATTCTGAACACTACAAGACAATGATGACTAAGCTGAAAGCCCGCATTTCCCGAGTCAGGCCAGAGAAGCAGACAACCTTTCGCTTGCAACACGATAACGCTAGACCCCGTACCAGTTTGGCAACCACCGCACACATTGCAAAGTTTGGCTGGACAGTCCTACCACATCCACCTTATAGCCCCAATTTAGGACCTTCAGACTTCCATCTCTTTGGGCCTATGAAAGGTGGACTACGTGGGCAACATTTTCCAGATAACGATGCTGTCATTGCAGCTGTAAGAAAGTGGCTAGCCTCTGCTGGCGCAGACTTTTACGGGCACAGCATACAGGCTCTTGTTCATCGCTGGCAAAAGTGCATAACGAATGGTGGTGATTATGTGGAAAAATAACTGTACGTAGCTGAAATCTTGCTCTATTTAACTACATTATTATGCTTTCTGTATCTGTTGTAGTTTTCATTAAAAAAACAGGAGGCATTATACACGGAATGCTTCTTGTAGTATGCAAGTGGTTAAATTTCAAGGCATACAAATTGCAGTTGGTTAGAAAGTGCAGGAAAATGACTTGCCATAACACTGACACCTCACCAGCAACCACTGTCTCAGACAACGACGATGATTATATCAGCTATGAGGCTACTTTGCACATCTTAGGTAAATTTAACCCTCATAACTGTGACACCTAGGAATTTCAGAATCTCAATGATGTAAGGGAACATGAATGGGAGAGCCCAAAATTGAATGTGTGGTGTGGATTAAGTAGTGCAGGAGTGATTAGACCATTCTTCTTCCATGAAAGAACAGTGACAGGTGCTGGGTGCCTTGACATGCAAGAGAAATGTGCTCTGCCACAGATACCTGACAGATGTCTTCCAGCAAGACTGGGCACTACCACAGTCACTCAATTCCTCAATGAGCAATCCACAGGAATATGAATCGGTCCAAGTGACCTCACTATGTGCCCCTCCCCTCCCCTCAGATCACCCAATCTTACCCCCTTGACTTTCTTCTATGGGGATACATTAAAGATGGCATGTATCAGACCAAATTCAATGACCAGCCTGATTTTCACCATAGGATCATAAATGCAGTAGCATCTATAACTCCAGAGATATTTTGAAACACCTGGGCAGAAACAGATTATTAGCTGGATGTCTGTCATGCCACAAGGAGGGCACATATTGACACCTACTAAAAGGAAAACATATCTAGCGAATTTTTTACACTTTTCACCTCAAACAACTGACATATATCTTCACTGAGAGTATTCAGTTTCCTTATCAGCTGTGTTCAATTGGGACACATATATGTATTGAGCAATGTCAAAACCTGGCACTTACACCACAGTGAAAGAAATGAATCTCTAGATATAGAAAGAAAACTGCATAAGCATAGTTTCCAATGGTATTACTTAACAAGTGAATTTCTTGAAAATTCCTGCCTTGTTCAAAAGATATTACTGGGAGGAACTAACAAAACATGATACCTTTTAAGGCTGGTTTTTCTTTCAGATACAAGCATCCAAAATTAGCTATAAAGAATGGGAAGCAAACTTTGACTGGTATTTTATAAGGCATCAGAATCAAGATTATATACATAGACTCTTATCTAATTAGAACATTAAGGGAATAGTATGCTTTGCATCATTTCTCCTTCTTTCTTATAGAAACCATTGCATTTAAAGCTAAGCAAATTTGAGATAGAAGGACATTCCATTATGCATGTACACACACAGGAAAACCAAATGAATTGCTTCGAGATTAGGTTACAGAAGGTACTCTTAATGACAGTTTACCTGATCTTCTATGTAATTACTAAAACAGTAAAAGGAACAAACCATAAATGCATCCTGTTTGATCTTGACAATTCACTACTCACAACCATCATGGCATTTATTGTCTCTGCACATCTTGTGGCATCATTGTCAGACATAAAATCTAGTGGACCAATATTAAAAACACTTACAAATTTAACCAAAACTCTAGAAGGTACAGAAGCTGCAAAAAATGCACCACCAGCCCCAACATCTTTTAATCTATCAGGTGATATAGCTCGAGTATCCTTTGCAGCTTCTTCCAGTTCTTTCTGTAATTTTGCCTGCTTTTTCCTGGAACAAGTAAGATGATTTTAGAGGCTATGTAACATACATACATATATTTATTTATATATTGTAGAGGCAATTTCTGGCCCAAGCAATCCACCATAAGGTAACTGTCCTGTTCAACAGAGTACTTATAGGCAAGTCAGTGGTTAGAAACCCAATGGCATTGCAGACTATCTCAGTACAAATATTTTCTCTTTATAAATGCAATCAATCAGCAATGTTCTAATCCACCATAAATACAATGCATCTGTCAGAGTTTAAAAATGTACTGTGTAGCTATAAAGTAGAACATATTAATATATATTAGGAAAACTCAAAGCTTTTCAGAAACACATTGCAGTCTAGCAATATGAAATCAATGTCCAAGATCATATCATGATTTGTTCTTGTAATTGGCCCATGTGGTAAATATGACTTCCATGTACTCAAATTGGAAAGGGACCAATAAAGTCCAACTTGGAGATCTTACGGCGCATCCACATTACTCGTGCTCGTGCATCAGAAGCTTAGTGCTGCCAGAAAATCAGGATGTGGAGCTGATATCTGTTGTGAAGAAATGCGAAGGCTTTGTATGCAAACCAGTTTGGGCGTCCACTTCGTCAGCTCCAGATCCTGATTTTCCGGCAGCACTAAGCTTCTGACGCATGAGCATGAGTAATGTGGACGCGCCTTTAGTAATACTGTATTTCAGCATCATATTGTGTGTGAACTATTTATTACACTATTCATCAACACAATTCCACGAGCTTAAACCCTTTCAAATTTGCCTCATTCAGCATGTATACACCTGTTCCACCATTCCTCAATTTCTGGAATCACCTTCAGCTGCCCACTGGCATTGTGATAAACTGTATCTATATCATCAAATCTTTTGTTTTTCAAAATTTTTCACATTTAGGCAACAGAAAAAAGTCACAGGAAATTTGGTATGCACTCTCACTTGTGGAATAATCTGTTTAGTTAAAAACTACCACACCAATTAGATTGAAGGGACACGTACACTGTCATGGTCAATTTTCAATTTTTTAGATATCTGCCTCTTCAACTGATCTCAAATCATGCACCATGAAGAGGTATCATCACTGGCAAATATAAACATTAACTGTTAGTCTAATTGTGTGGAACATGATCATGGTACATAATCACCCCATAATCAAAGAAAACCACAAGTAACATGTTTGTTTTACTATGCACCTGCTGTGCTTCTTTTGGTGAGGAAGGTGATTTCCACTGTCATTACTGCTTAGTATCAAGGTCATAACTGAAGACCCATGTTTTATCAACCAATCAATCAATCATTTATTGTAAAATTCCATCATTCCAATCGAGGCTACAGAGTACGCCTGACAGATATAGAACCAGTCACAAACAGGTAACCTATACAATAAAATGTACAATAAATACATAACATTACGATATCTTCTTAGAAAGTTTTCATTAGTGTCAGCATATTCAAGCAAGCTAGAAACCACAGACAAATGATCATTTATCTGTTCTGTGCTGGCTGTCATGGAATAAACTTCACTGATATGTATTTTATTCCTAAATCACTTCTTCTGACAAGAGAAACAAGAAATTTCTGCCTCATTGGCTACTCACAAATAGTCAATCCTCTGTCATTTCATGATAAATTATCCAATCGAGTTACAAATTCATCATTTCTAATATGTGAAGGGAGTCCAGGATGACTGCCACTTCTTGATGTTTGCCCTTTTATAAAACTAAAGGACCACCAAGAATCTGTGCTCATCTCATTGCTGTGTACTCTCAAATGTTGTCCACAGATTCATGATAAAAACATTCCGACTTTAAATAATGACCATGAACAACTGAAGTTACGGAATGATTATAAACACACGTGGACATGCAGTAACTAGCCATGACACATTAATCACAGCTATGTCCCTGTGCATTGCAATTTATCTGAGACATGTGTTCAGGCTCTCTACTTTTGGATCAGACCTCGTATCTACTATTTCACAGGTGGATAAAGTTCAATATTTAATCCTTCCAGCAAAAACCACTTTGGTTGGGTAGGTTTTAAAGTACTGCAGAAAACTAAAAAAAATTTACAATGTAAAAGTGACTTACTGCACAACTATACAGGATAAAACAGAAAACAACAATATTTCCATCACTGAGGGGAAGCAACTACAGTTCAGCTATTAAATTGTGTTCTGGATCATGTCAGGTTATCATCGTCGCCGTCGTTGTCATTATTATTATCACTGGTATTGTTGTTGTTATTATTGTTATTATTATTATTATTGTTGTTATTATTATTATTATTATTGGAAAAGTTTGAAGGCCACTACAAGCTTCTGCAAATAGAATAATTTCCCAAAAAATTAATATTTACAAAATCTGTTTACTTACCCATTCAGCCCAAGTGTTTGTATCAGAAAGGCAGTTGCATTAGTGGCCCCTTCGCTGGAAATAAAGTTTTGAAGCATGGAGGTGTCTACAGACTCTACTTGTTATAAATCTATACTAAAAACAAACACCAATTGAACTGGTAGTAACCACATTCATTTGTAAGGGTTCTAGACAAACATGTGCAGGATTATGATTTCAACTAGGATGGAACTAAAGTAAAAGAATATATTACATAAACTGTATAAATATTATGTAATCATACCGTACAAAATTTTCGTTTTCTTCATTCATCTTATCAGCATCTTTAGATTTATATCGTATGAGTCGTTCCACCAAACTGCGGTTTTCATCCTGAAATATACATACCTCATCAAATTTACACACAGGGCATGTCTTCACAGAGATCTTAAAATCTAAATTTTTAAAATTCAGCCCTTATCCACAAATGATTTCATATGACTGCTTACAGTTTACATTTATCTTATTATCCAACTCCACATTAACTGAAACTCCAGTCTGCCCTTATTAATTACTACTGTTAACTGCTACCTTCAGCATGAAGAGCAATAGGAAAACCAAGGAAACAGTGAAAATTTTGTGGCTGGAACAAAGCCCTTCATGAAAGAAAAAATGTAAATTATTGTGCCACACTTTGATATTTTCTATAACACCTATAATACGTAATCTGCACCTTGTATTGCATCTGATGCTACTGCAATAATACATTATTAGATGGTGATGCAATGGTTATGCAATCATATATTAAGTACATAATCTGCGTAAAAATGACTATAATAAACACACAAAATCTCTGATAAAAGGAACTGAGCTCTCTGCTAATACCAAAGCCCACAAATGGAACACAATTCTGATCCTGTTTTCTATGCTACTTTCACTCTAGTATACACTTTCCCCACTAATAAACAATTGTATTACTGACAATAAGCAAAGATGCCAACATACGACTAACACAATCATTTGACTTAATTACCAACAATTTTGCAATTAATGCAAACAACATATACTTTAATCAATACAAATGTTGAAATTGTTCTCACAGAGCAAAAGGAGGTAAGGTACAGGCAAGGTAAAGTTGTCCTTGTGTATAATTAGCTAAGCACTATGCCATAAAACTGAATGGGGAGGTGGAGGTATGGTTTCACAATTTTTTACCTTGGCACTATATGGAGTAAGTAGTCAGCTTTATGCCCCAACTGTTTTACACCCAGGGAAACTGCCCCCCGCCAAACCCATTGGATAGGAGGCTGGGTGGGCCCCAGAGCCAGTCTGAATGCTATGGACGAGAGAAAAATCTTGCCCCTACCAGGAACCAAACACTGACTGTCCAGCCTGTAGCCAGTCACTATACAGACTGAGACATAAAATCTCTCTATGGCAAACAGAGGTACCAACCAAAAGTTTGTTCTGCCCTGCACTTGTTAATAAAAAGTATGCCTAGGGCAGAATAAATGGCCTTTGTTACAGAACTAGTTTAATTACCAGTCTCATAGTGAAAAGTAAGATTTTCTATCCAGAATTAAACAAGATGGAAAAAGAAATTGCTGTGCAAGTTGCATAGCTTTATATAGGGCAAGCCTGACGTAATAAAAACTCATAAAAATCAATAAAAATGCTTGTTCGCGGGTTCAAATCCCGATGAGGTCATTGTATTTTTTCAATTGACCTAATTCTTCCAGACACACTATGGCCCTGGGGTCGACTCAGTCTCTAACAGAAATGAGTACCATTAATGAATTAAATAATTTTCCTGGGGAGTAAAGCGCAGCCAGCACATAAGGCTGACAACCTTACCGCCATCTTTGAACTGATTGTCTAGATAATGTGGGACCCTCAACATCTCACAACCCTATGGGCCTTCATGGCCTGTTACAGGGATAGCTTTGCTTTGCTTGCTTGCTTTTGCTTGTTAAAACAAGTACTCATAATATCCAGAAAAACAGTTTAAACATATAATTTTCAAGCCAAAATTCTTTTCACACTTATTTCTATATAGCACTAAGATTTAAAAAGGTTAACGCAGGCACCACACCATTTGTCTTACTATTAAAGGACCTGTCAATAATGCAACAATATTTTAAAATATAAAAGACATCTAGAATATGTTTCTCACTAAAAGTGTAACTTTAATACTTTATGATGATGTTAAAATCATAAAATGTCATTAAGACGCTAAAACCATAACTTATACACTAAATGTGATTATCAGATTACTAAAATGTCTCTAGTTTTTCATAACAATATTCTAAGATGTTGTTGCATTATTGAGGGGTGCTTTAATAATAAGGATGATGCCTCAAAGCAACGGGATGCTAAAATATAATACCACGGCATTTATTTCTTTTGGCATGAAGGAAACAAAAACTAGCAAAAATACCTGTATCAGCTTCACCATGTTTGTTCGTCTACCCATCTGCTCAACACATTTGTACTAAATTTGATACTGCTAAGTTTTAATAAAATATGTCAGCATATTTCAATCTGATATCAGACAAACATAAAGGACAGAACCAAAACGCATTTCTACGTGTATCTTATGCAAAAATCATGTAAACCTGATAAACAATTATCAGAACAAATATTTTTCTTAAAAAAGTTGTAGATAATATGTACATTCCATATCCAATAGACTTTTGCCACAAGTTATACAGTTTTTGAAATAATGAAACAAATGGATTTTAAACTGCCTACAGACACTAACACAATGAAATATGCCAGAACTGCTATGTCATGCGAACATTTTCTAAATTTCTTCAAATAGTTATCATGAAGACATATGAGTAATGAACAAAGATTCAACATTCTCAATGCCTTTCATAACACGTGAACCAATCAGATGACGATTTTCTCATGCTTATGTAATCTCTTGTACTTGTAACCATTAGCAAATGTTTTTCAATCATAAACTAGAATGGCTCTGCATGCTAAGCACTTCTGTCCCAGAATGGCAAAAAATTTTACTACAGTACTCAGGCTTCTGGATGTGGTCTTTTCTGTCCCAAAAATGGGAGATGCATTGACTATAGTTTAATGGTACATTTATGGAATGCCAGCTATATAGCTTGGGAAGCAGACTTGAAATATGGTTCATGCAACAAGTTATGGAAAAATTTCCTGCTGGCTAAGAAACACTCACTGAAGTGAAAGTAAAAATGCCCTACTTTTATATGATACCTTTCCACACACTTAACATTAACACAATCATTGTTCCGATATCTTTTCTAATTATGAGCCACATTTGTTATACGATGATTCCACTACAATTTATTCCGTTCCCACCACTCATGCTTAACACACTCTACATGTATATTAACCTAAATGTTAGTGGCCTCCATAGTCTATGGGTAGCGTTCCCACCTCATGACTCAAGGTACACGGGTTCAAACCCAGCGGAGGTCGTGGAATTTTTAAGGGCGGAAAAATTCAGGGAACAAGTCCTCCGGGAGAGACTTTAAGCCGTGGGTCCCGTGTCATAGATTTACGGCACGTAAAAGATCCTCATGTCTCTAGGAGACCTCTGAGCAAAATTAGGTAAAAAGTTTTCCGCCCAAGTAGTTTCCAATGCCTCCGGTAGATGGGGAAGTATCGGGTACCACTGCCAGTAGAGGGGCCGAACTCGCTGCCTGAAAGGGGCTGATAGCGAGCACACGTACCGGAAGGGTATGGCGATTGGTAGAATATCAAAGGGGGATGTACAATAGATCAACAACTGGTCACGGTGCATGGGGAAACCCACCCCCTCAAATAATGAATGAATGAACCTAGATGTTCTCAGTTACATACGCCATTCTGTATTCTTCACAGATTAGTCATAAATGTTGTGTTCAAGTAGGCAGCACTATTACTTCATATTGGAAGCTACTAGATTCCAATTCCAGCTCAGAGACTAGGTATCCTGTCAAAAGTTTTGTGGTTTTCCTAAGTTGCTCCAGGAAAAAATTGGGACCATACTTTTAAACAGTCCATGAACACTGTCTTCCACAGCCTTTCTAGTTATCAGATGCTACACAGTCACAGCTACTGACAGCATCTTTAAGTAAATTACAAATAAATAAATCCATAGTCTAGGTTAGGGAACCATCACAACATAAAAGCAAAATTATTACAGTGTTCCGTATATATTGCCTCCTATTTTTTTTTAAAGAAAACTACAACAGAACAGAAAGCATAATAATGCAGTTAAATAGAGCAAGATTTTAGCTACTTACAGTTATTTTTCCACATTATCACCACCATTCGTTATGCACTTATGCCAGTGATTAACAAGAGCCTGTATGCTGCACCAGTAAAAGTCTGCGCCAGCAGAGGCTAGAAACTTTCTTACAGATGCAATGACAGCATCATTGTCTGGAAAGTGTTGCCCACGTAGTCCATCTTTCTTAGGCCCAAAGAGATGGAAGTCTGAAGGTGCTAAACCGGGGCTATAAGATGGATGTGGTAGGACAGTCCAGGCAATCTGCACAGTGGTTGCCAAACTGGTATGGGGTGTAGCGTTATCGTGTTGCAAGCGATAGGTTTTTCTGATTCTCTGGCCTAACTCGGGAAATGCGGGCTTTCAGCTTAGTCAGCGTTGTCTTGNACCAGCAGGGAGAAATTCAATAACACATCTGTGTTTCATACGCACTTCTATGTCAGACACCATTTTGGTAGACTGCTCTGCTGTCGCTATCTGTCGCACGACAACCAAACAGTAGATTGGCGGGAAGGTTCAACCTTTAGTACAACACCACCAACATCCATCTCAGACGTTACATATTAACACAAAAAAATAGGAGGCATTATTTACCCCTGTAAGAGGCTGTGAAGGCCCATAGGGTTGTGAGATGTTGAGGCTCCCACATTTTCTAGACAATCAGCTCATAGATGGCAGCAAAGTTGTCAGCCCTATGCACCGGCCTCCTTATACCCCAAAGAATATTCCTGGTACTAATTTCTGCTAGAGGCTGAGTCAACCCCAGGGCTATAGTACAGCTGGAAGGATTAGGTCAACTGAAAAAAATCCAATGACCTCATCGGAACTTTAACCTGTGACGTTCTGGCTTCTAACATAGTGCCTCAACCAACTACGCTACCACGTACCCCCATCTCAGCCTAACATTCATATAAAAATACTGGGAATGCAATAACCACTTAACATATTAACAAAATATGTCTGGGGACTCTAATGGTCTGAATAGACTTTATCAACCACAATGTTTAAAAATTAAATACAGTATTTGACACTGTACACAAAGATACGAGATAGATAACTAACTTCATGAAGCTGAGCCCTTCTTAAAAAAGAAATTCCTGGCATCTTATGGAACCTGAAGGTTCATTATCGTGCTAACAAGGGCCCTCCACAGTCCCTATCCTGAGCCACATAAATCCAATCCTACCAGCCCATTCTATCTATCTAAGGCCCACTTTAATATTGTCCACCCACCTACACATTTTGGTCTTTCCAATGACCTCTTTCCTTCTGACTTTCCCACCAATATCCTACATGCATTCCTCTTCCCTCCACTTGTGCTACATGCCCTACCCATCTTATCCTCCTTCACTTGATCTTTCTAATTATACGTGGAGAAGAGTAGAGGTTATGAAGCACCTCATTATGCAGTTTTCTCCAACCTCTTATCACTTCATCTCTCTTCTTTCGAAACATTCTCCTAAACATCCTGTTCAGAAACACCCTCAGTCTGCGTTCCTCCCTTAATGTCAGAGACCAAGTTTCACATCCATAGAGAACCACAGGCAAAATTATAGTTTTGTATATTCTAATTTTTATGTTTTTGGACAGCAGATGAGAACAAGAAAGGTTCTGGACTGAATGGTAGGAAGTATTACCCGAGTTCAATCTCCTCTTAATTTCCTCCTGAATCAGGTTTCAATCTGTTATTGTTGTTCCCAAACATCTGACTGTGCCACATCTTCAAAACGTCTTGTTTCCTATCTTTATATCATGATTTTGCCCTGCATTTTGGTGACGAGACAGCAGCATATACTTAGTTTTCGCAGTGTTTACTTCTAGACCAACTTCCTTAGTAGCGTCAGTCAAAATTTGTTTTTACTATATGGTAGCTATATTATCACCTAGTAGACCGTCTATGTGGTCTAGTGGTCAGAGTTCCTGGATAATCCAGAGATCCCAGGTTCAATTGCCAGCACTACCAGATTTTCTGAGAAACAGAGAAACACTCAGCCTCGTGAGGATAATTGAGGAGCTATTTCAAGGAAATAGCGGCTCCGGTCTAGAAAACTGAGATTAACAGCTGTGGGGATCCGTTGCACCCTCTATGCACAAAAGTTGGCAATAACTTCACGGACAAGCGATGGTCACTCGGTCGGTATAGTTCGCTTGTGGACTACAGGCCACAAAGTCCTTTTTTTTTTGTATTATCACCTAGTAGATTCACATCATCAGCATAGACCAACAGCTGATGTGTCCCATTTAATTTCAGTCCCACCTGGTTTTCCTGGACCTTCCTAATGGCATTCTAAAGCAAAGCTGAATAGCAGTGGCAATAAAGCATCTCCTTACTCTGGATAGGAAAATTATCAGACGAACGTTTACCTATACGGACGTCACTACATGTCTCACTTACACACATTTTAATCAGTCTAAGTAGTTTTATGGATACCTCAAACTCTATCAGAGTACTGTACAATAATTCCCTCTTAAATGAATCACAGGCTTTCTTGAAGTCTGTGAACAGCTGATGTACTGTTTCACTGTACTCCCATTTTTATTCCCATATCTGACAAATGCAGTGAGACAGATAATAATACACAATGTGCTGCAATGGCTACATAAATTAGTTTGTGGAAAATGTCGCCAGTTGCCAAAATGTGCTTGCAATTACATAAAAAAACTGATTTTTGTCCACAAGCGAACTATACTGGCCGAGCGACCGCCGCCTGTCGGCAAAGTTTAGTGCCAAATTTGCGGATAGAGGGTGTCGCATGGTCAGTGCAACGAATCGCCATGGCTGTTAATTTCAGTTTTCTAGACCTCAGCCGCTATTTCCTTGAAATAGCTCCTAAATTATCATCATTATCATCACAAGGCTGAGTGGACCCCGTTCCAGATCCACTACTTCTCATAAAATATCTGGTAGTGCCGGGAATCGAACCCGGACCCCTGGATCTGTAGCCAGGAACGCTGACCACTAGACCACAGAGGCGGTCCCTGCACTTACATACATATAGACTTTGTAAACTGTAAACAGCTACAATAAAAATATTATAAATCACACTAGACATATAAAGTATGCAATTTGGATTTCTCAGTATTCGGGTATGCCAAATTGTGCATAATATTTGTAAGTAACAAAAAATGTAAATAAATATAAATGATGTTCCTAAGTCAAAATCATATATTACATTCAAAATACATAAACTTTACCATTAAGTTTCAATAAATCTTACTGTCCTACATACAGCATGACTTCACATGTAATACAACTGGGTTTACCTGAGCTTTTCTCAGCTTCTCTTCTAAAGACACAAATGCTAAATGTAAGGCTTGATGTTCATCTTTCAACATCTGATTCATATTTTCAAGTTCTTTTGCGTTATTCTGGTACATCTGTATTTCTGCTCTTAATGTACTATTTACAGCCACGCTGTCTGCCAAGCTGAAAAACAGTAATAAATTCAAAACATTATTCTTTTGTCTAATTTATCACTTCAAATAGCATAATTTTGTCTGCCACATTTATAACTTACCTTTTTGTTCCACCTACAGTAGCAAACTTAAGAGGGCTCTGGCCACTCTAATGCATTCAAATGTTAGTCTTATTTAAAATTTACATACCCAGATACAAAACATTAACACATCAGTGCCAAGAAACGAATATAAAGATAAAGGAGAGTATGATCTTCTAGGAGGTAACACTGTCAAGTCTGGTAGAAATACAAAATTTCGGAGGAACATGGTGCCTCCATCTTCAGGGTCAAAAAGCAAGCCCAAAAAGAAACCACCAACAACCAGGCAACCAGGAGATATCCTTGTTACATGCATCACATTCAACATCTATTCTTTCCTTCAAATTGTCTGTGTCTTCAATTTTCAAACTTAATACCACTTCCTTCACACAGATTCATCTGTAAGTCTACCCAGGTAAGGTCAAGACACTAAGGCTACCAGGGTTTTGAAACCCTTCCCTTCTACCATGCTGTAAAATGTTCATTTTGACCTCCACTGTGGACGCATCAACCTGTGAGATTGTTCCATCATCTTTGGTCTGTGGTAACATAAATTTCTAATAGGGGCAGAAAGTGTTCATTAAAGTTTATATGGCATATTCCACTGAAAAGGACTGAAAACGAATTTCAATACTTAGGTCACATTCATTTTCATACCTTATTCCACTATGGGACTACATAGAGTTCCAAAAGTGAAAATTAATGACACAGACCACATGAACCACAGAATCAGGAAGTCAAGACTGTAGATCTATATATTCTCAGTCAGGTGTAGCAACAATTGGAATATAAAATGAAAGTCTGTTCAGTAACAAATAGGGTTCATAGTAAACTTCACTAACAGCACTGATAAACTTTCATGATTTATCTTCAATTTCATCCCATTCATGTACAAAGAACTAAACATTAGAAAACAACAAAGATGAAAACATGAACCATAACTTTAAAGGCACAGTTTAAGAAAGCACCACAGCTGTAAACTGTCACATTAACATCTCTTACCTCACTTCATGAGCCCGCAACTGTTTTTCTTTTTCCTGTAATTTATGGTTTAAATCGATCAGCTGTTGAGCATTCTCTCCCTTACGCCGATGCAATTCTGTCAGCTCCTCCTGTTGATGAAGCAATTTCTGTTCCAGTGCCTGAATCTTCTCATTGGGTTTCCCATCACCAGATCCACTTCGATTCTGGAGTTCAAAGTTCTCTTGTCGCACCTTCTCATTTTGCACCGTCAACTGAAGATTTTCCCCTCGTAAGGCATTAAAGCTATCAAATAACCTATTGTCTGAAACAAAAAAAAATAGTTTACATAATTCAGATACAATTATCTGTAAATTCAACCTGTGTACTTGGTCGCCTTATTCACGTCTTTTCGTGTACATGAGGTTTCTTCAAGGCATATTGATAGAGCAACCAATATCTCCCAAGATATAAATTTAAGAGACACGGTTTAAAAATACTTACGAAACGATATGAGGTCCTGAAAACAGCTGCATTGTGATTTGTTCCTGTTTTGTAGGCGCAAAATTATTGTTTTTCTCCAGTCTAAATCACCACTTCCACCACTGGAGACTGCCATGTTCAATTTGTCCTGCGTAATGCAAAGGGCATAGACGAGTCCGAAGCAAAGAATATTTGCGAAATGTTAGTAGTAACCATGAATCAAAATCATACTACTGGGTCTTGCCGCAGATAACCATCTTTCTCAAACCTTACGACTCCGAAGTCTTTTCGTCTGATCAGAACTCTCAGAAACCTGAGAAAGAAGCAGGTAGACAAGTAAGCTTGGCAGTGGCTGCTTGCCCATTAGGACCATTAGGACACTGTTTATGCTGTTGACAATGTCCCATTTAAATTGAAAGTTTTGTCACAGTTTATGTATGTTTACGTAATATGCACTAATACAAATAGTAAATGTAATATATAAATTACATAAGATGAGTCACTCGCCGAAAATGTGTGTCCGATATCCAAGAATGCGAGAAAGAAAGATATAACGCCATGTAGTCCGTTGAAAGCGAACTGACGTTTCGGAGAAACATGTCGCCTCCATCTTCAGGATTGCATAATGAGCGAAACAAGAGACCAGCGTGCCCATAAAATTTAAATAAGTACACGAATCGATATTTTAACAAATAATGGTATACCAGAGTTTCTTGGTTACGTAGTTGTCCCATGAGAACGCTTTATCTTCTGTTCCTAATATACTGTTTGGAGGAGAAAGGAAGAGAACGAAAGCGGATATGACTGACATTAAACTGTTGTCATGAAAGATAGGATTGCAGGAATCGTCAAAATCGCATATTTAAAATGTTAGGTAATGTTAATATTGGCGCCAAATTTGATACAACATATTAACCATCAGTTAAATGACATAATAAGCAGGTTGATAAAAACATATACGTGTTATCAGAAATATTTCTTGCGTTAAATTCTCTGGTATGTTTGAATTTCCATTTTGTGGTCACAATGAGATATGAACATCATAAAATCGCGGCATCTCTTTTAGGTCTGGGCGGGTGACTTCATTTCTGAATTAGACAATCTTCTGCTTAACCATTTAACAAATGCGACAGTGTTCAAGGGCACATCAAAAATTGTCAAAACGAATTCTTCAGCACATTATTTCTGTCTACAAAGGCTTTGTAACTAATTAAATTTAAAATGCAAATTATGTTGTCATTATTTGTCATGAATCAACAGACACAGCCTCAAAGAAACACTTCGTTTTGGCACACAAGTATGCAGGATGAAAGTCGGCAGTGATACTGCATATGCTGATTGTCAGTTAATCCAGATTGCTTGAGTTATTGCGGTAAGAATTATCACTGAGATAGCACTATAGAAAAAGAATCTGTTGGTGATAAATCCGGCAGGCGTTGGGGTCATTTTCCTTTACAGTCATTTTGTCTCCGAACAACAGGATAGCCAATGCTGTACGATACGTTGTGTTCTATCGTTCAAACCATTCTTAGGAAATTCTCTCACTAAGGCGTCTGGAAAATTAATGTACTATGTCGATGTAGCGCTCTAAGTTAAGGGTGTTTTCGAAGAAAATTGTCCCAGAAATCCTACGGCGAGACAATGCACACCACAAGCCAGTCTTTACAGGGCCAAAGAGAGTGTCACGGATTGAAAGACGATTTTCCCTACAGCATTCTGAGAGTGCAGATAACCTTTAAGATAGGAACCATATCTCATCTGAGTAAAAAGTAACGTCTAACATGCGAAGGTCATCCTTCGCTTTTGCAAGCAACCAGCCACAGAAAAGTAGTTTTTCACAATCCAGTGGTAATAGCAACTGAATACCATAAACTGTGTATGGAAACAATTGCAATGTCTTCGTTGCTTTGCGACACCTAATGTACGACAATCCAGTATATTGTGCGGACTTAAACTCTATAGTTCAATGACCTCTGATATGCCAGTGTCTGTAAACTCCAGTCGCTCTCTGGTTTGCGTCCGGGATAGTAGAGAATCACCTGGGCCGAGCTAGACAAGAACCTGCGATCCCCGCGTTCGAACACTAGCCGAGGCCCCAGCCCCTGAGACTGGCACGCCAGCCTCCTCCCCCCAAGCTCACCTAATCTGCTAGTCTGTCCAGTTCTTCTCGATTGCTCACGCCCATCAAGAGCCATCATTTATTCTTACTCCCAGTGGCCTTCTCACCGGAACCTCTGGGAGATATAAACTGCATCTAATAGCAGCGGAAAATGAGATTGCAGATGGACAAATCCCCCACCCGAAGCATCAACTGCAAGGACCCCTTGATACATGCTTCTGGAACAGGAGAGCCTCCGCCGCTGGTCTCACCTGACCCGCAGTCAAGCTCAGCTGATATATCGTCGTCGTCCACAGTGGGAAGTCGTGGCTCGGACCAACTACGTACAAACACTGGGCTTCCCAATTACTGTACCTGATGGTCGGCATTCTCATTTACATGAAGAGACCTTTTTCAGCCTTCCTTCAATGGACCCCTCGCCTTTGTTCTTGAGAGATTTGGCCGTTCCTAAAGCAACAGAAGACATAACACAACCTAAACCTCCTAACGCAAGAAGACGTCTATGTTCGTAGAAGGTTCATTAGCTTAATCGACTAGGTGCAACAGTGTACGCTTTTTACCGGGCTACGGGGACAGAGTCTAATCTCAGAAACATCGTTTAAAATAAACATTAGGACAATGGATAACAAGCAGAATATTTCCTTTTGTATTAATCGTCACCTCCTTCCGAATTCAAATTACATTCCTTCGTTTACTCTTTTTTTTTTCTCCCCTTGGCACTACAGCCCCAGTGGACCTAGGCCGCCTACCTCCATGAACTTCTCCGTTAACTTCGGTTTTTCTAGATCTTACACATTCGGTAGGACTCCTTGGGCGGGTGCTCAGCTCGTCGCAAGGCCTCTACCTGTACACAAACACAGAAAAACGCACACACAGAAACTAAACATCCATGCCCTGAGTGGGATTCGAACCGACGATCCCGGTTTCCAAGCGAGCGAAGACAGTACATGCCTTAGACCGCTCGGCTACCGTGACCGGCCTCGTTTACTCTTTACGTCCATCTAATCTTGTTTATTAACTTATCTGCCATTGTATTTACTTTAACTGTCTCATAATTTCCCACTTCTCAATATTTCTCACCTTGCTTTCCTTTCTATATTTCTAAAAATTGTCATCCTTTAGTGTATTTTCATTCCCAAGTGCTACTCCATAATTATGGGATGCAGCACTTTCCATATAATATACTATTCCTTTCTTACGTATTTCCCACATCCAGAGGCTATTCCTAGCTTATCAATGGTGTATTGAGTTGACGGTATACTGTTAAGTCGATCTAATTATTTGCATTGTCAGCAGTCCCGCTTATATTTTGAAGTAGCCCTCATCGCCTTCATGTCATGGTCCAGGACCTCCAGGACGGTTTACCTTACACGGATCCGCACGAAACGGAGCGAGACCTATCGACGTAGATTTTGAAATATACATGAATAACGTACACCAAACGTAATATAAATTGATTGATACAAGATGGAGGGGGCAGGTAAAATTCTGTTGAAGGTGAGAATTTGTGACATTGATTCTTTGGTTCCTTGCGCGAAACAAAAGACACGAAGGACGAAAGACAGTAGCCGTGGGTAAATAAATAAGTACCATAACAGTTCAAAATATATGGAATAAAATTTATTGCGGTGAGGTTATGTTTGATTCGTAGAGATTTTAATATGTGCGTAAAAATAATGCGACCCAAGTTTGTGAACAACTTCCATGTAGAAAAGAGGTTGAAATATATAAATGTTCTCACACTGGGTATTAGCCAACCATATTGTAGTGGCAAATCCAGTAGTGCATGGTACCAGTGTCACGGTAAACTAAAATGTTGATAATCAAGTTCAAATACCTGTAAACGAGTGTTAGTGCTGCTCTTCCTTTAATTGGGTTAGAGAGTGCAGAAGACAACCAGCTTATGTCAACCCATGATGTTCACAAAGTCACACAAGGGTGTGACATTTTTGCTAGTTCAGCGAATCACATTACGTTTATTTAGAAAAATAGTTTAAAGGCATCTAGTACTTTATATTATACCCCAACAGTGTGGAAACATTGGGTATTTTTAACTGAAAGACCAAAAACTCAAGGCACTTTCTTTACTTTTACTATGCGCACCACAAGTCTTAACTATTATATACCTATTCCACGTCAGTGTGAAATTTATAATTGTGTAGATAAACATCTTCATAAGAAAGATCAGAAACTGGTACTGAACACATTTTCTTAAGGGTGAGAATAAGGTGAGGTTATGGAATTAACCAACTAATGAAGTAGGTTTTACTAAACGTGGGGAACAACCAGCTTTCCATAGTTGTTATTTCTGATGCACATCTAAGACATTTCTTTGTTAAAGATGCTGTGTTAACTATTAGTTTCATGGCTCATAATATCTACATACACAGACCACTTAACATAACTAGTCTAGCAGCATGAGAAACTTACAGCCAATTGTGCATACATGAACATAAAAGTAAACTAACATAAAAGACACAATATGTAATAAATAATTATAACAATATATCATTTACATAGTGCAGATAACAAAACTTATAATAACACTACATCAACATCCTTACAAACTGCTCAAATGACATGTGTGAACACAACTATAAACAACTATTAATACTTAAAACTATAAAATTAAATAACACATCACATATGATACCCACACTGCAAAGGGAATGCTGTATGAATAAATCCAAAATGAGAAATACTCAAGCAAATACTTTTTAAATGAATGGAAAACATTAAGATGATAATTAATTTTAATTAGGGTTAATTTATTTTAACCAGGAAGTATCGTGTTCACACGCAATATGTAATTTTGACATACAGTGCAGCAGTTTTAGCAAGATGATCTGATGATGGCTGTATACAGCTGAAACGTGGTGAGGAAGAAGGGTGACTAGATAACAAGTTGCATTTAACAGGGAAATGTATGTGTACAAAACATATATTAATGCAGTAGGATGCTTAAATACAATAATATATGTAGTGTCAAAGTAGAGAACATGGAAATAATTCCTACATGCTTTAGTGGCATGGTACTTAATCACTGGAATAACTTCACATCAGCCATTTTAATTTTACTAGCATTTAATATCAAAATTGAATTTCAGTGCACATTATATGTCATGAACTGGTGGATAGGATGAAATAAATTATGCATATCCCAGAGTATAAACCGTGCCTGTTATGACTACCCATTTTTGTTACATTCCTTATCAGTTAGACCTTGTATGAATGTGTGTGGTTATTTGTTGACATAGTAAATCCATATAAATCTGTATTTATTATTAGATTGACTACATGTAATTACAGCTTCTGCAGTATGAAGGTTTTCAGCAGCGACACACCTGCTTATTCCATATGACAGCATGTTGTCAGAAAGTGCAGGCTGGCCGATACAAAAGATCTCCAAAGGGCGATAGACCTCTTACATATGAAATGGCTAATCCACCACATTACATTGCTCATAGGAAATCATGGAACTCTTGGAATACCTGTATGTATATATGAAACATAAATTAGTTTAGTAATGATCTTTTAAATGCTGTGGATGTTTTTATCTGCAGCTACTGAAAAATTTCTGTGAAGCTGTTTTGTATTAACACATGGCTGATGCCCTCATAGGGGGTTCATGTGCTATAACAGATTAAAACAATATGATTTCATTGTAGACCTCATTTTAATTGTCACTATAAAACTGTTATAATTGATAAAGGCTCGGTATATTAGAGTTATTTTACATTCAGACTGGGAAATTTAGATTTAAATAGCACTTATATGTTACTCAGAATGGTTCATAATTCAGTGGCCAAACTTAAGTCACCAAGATAATTTGGAGTGAAAAATGTAAACAGATGGCTGTCCAGTTTGCTACTGTTCAGAGTTACAGCATTTCAAACTTGTCTTCCTTTTTTTTTGTGTGTGTTTTTTCATTTAGTAGAGCCTTCATAACACCACAGGACAGCTCATACTGCATTTGATTATGGATCACATTATTTCCAATGGCTAAGTAATGATAACAGTAAGACAGGATGGCATAATATACTAATGTGGGGTATGCTGATATGCATTTCAAGTACAGATTTTGTGATGGAAATGGTAGAGGTGCATTGATGGAATATCAGTGTCAGTAACCAGATCAGACACAACCCAACCCAACCCAACCAGTCTGAGGAAATGGCTGCAGTCATGCCACCAGCACACATTGGCTATGGCAGACACAATGTGCAGAATGAAGAGGAAGCATTAGATGCTGTACATGTAAATTAACTGACTGGTACTCGTCAGATCATACAAAACAGGCTTCTCTTAGAGTGCAGTTTGGCATCAGGAACAGTTGTATCCTTTTTGTGTACAATGTACAAGGGCTACAGTCAGAGGACAATAATCTTTATTTCCAGTTCTGGTAATGGCTTGTACAGAAATTGTGGCCCTTTACTGATGAGGCAACATTCACAAGGACTGGACAGATGATTTCAACAAAGATTTACTGTCATTTTGGCCAGAATCATAGAGGATTGCCTAATTGGGCCATGAAGTATGCTAATTTCCATGAAAAAAAAAACACTGCCTTTTACTGAAGGGTGTAGTCCTTACTGTTCGCAAAGGAATGTGGTTTTAGCATAACAGCATCTCCTCCCATTCTTCACGCCAAAGTGCAAATTCCCCAGATACATGGATCTGCCACAGGGTTTGATCTTCTGGCCTCCGCATTCTCCTGATCTGAACTCAACTCTATTTCATTTCCCATACCCATGGGATAGGAGGTTGGGTGGACAACGAAATTGGTCTGGATGATGTGGAGAAGAGAAAATTCTTGACCCTACCAGGACTTGAACTGCAACATCTCAGTCGTCCAACCTATAGCCAGTCGATATACTGCTTGTGCTAGTGGTATAAATATATTAAAGAAGAAATTCATAGGGCTGTTTTTCATGAAAAATTGTCAGTGCTTCTTTACTCCTTTGTCTCTTGGTTCAGATCTAACATCTGCAGTGGGATTTTGATTAAATTTGAAATGGAGTTTGTTGTTTATTGTTACAGGCCATATATAATTTTACTTAAAAGGTACTGCCTATCTGGCCTTGACTATTGCTTGTAGTGAAGATGTGACTTTTAAATACAATACATGTTTTGCAAAGATTTTATCAGTGCTGCTTCATAATTGTAATTATTATATTTCAGCTAACCTTGAAGGTGGCTTGCGGCCAGCAGAAACTGCTGTAGAAGATGTTTTCATACGGAAATTTATGACTGGTACATGGCACAATTTATTTGAATCTGAAGTTATTATAAAACGTCAGCACAACTTAATTCGAATTGCAGGAATTGTTCGTCAAGCTATTAGTGCAAGGAAAATGTATTTCCTCATTGGTTACTGTGAAGAATTGCTCAGTTTTTGGCTTCAGTGTCCAGTAAAACTTGAATTACAGACAGTAGCAGAAAAAAAGGACGTCACCTTCAAGTATATTTAATGGTTCCGGCCTAGCCACTGAGAGGATGGTATTGTTACACAGTCAAATTTTTATACACGATTTAATGTAAGTTGTTACTTGATTATTTCTTCTGTAATTAATTTTAAAGAAGGCGAGAGGAATAATTTGTTGCAGTAAAATGTACAATAAACATACCCTACAAAAGAAAATTTATCCTATCAGTTAATTAAAATGAACCAAATGGAAACAGAATATTTTGTATTACAAAGCCTTGATCCAGTGCTTTAAGAAGGCTATGAGCTGACATGGTAGTGATGAATAAACACTCAGAAATCCAATCCTCAGATCCCGCAAGTGACATTGCATTGGCTACCAGGGTTTGTCATATAAGAGGCTGATTATTTTTTAGGATAATACCAAATCAGATCATAAAAATGGAATTCCTGAAGCCTATAACTGTGAATCACACACAGATATACTAGCAAGGACACTGTTCACCGGTTTCTTAATTAAATGAACTGTAATAATTTACTTCATTATGTATGATATTTATGAATATATATCTACTGAACCAAAGAAGAGTTATCCTAACTGCCTGTGAACTGTATTTAAATTATGAAATTGCTCTTTGTATGGAAGAAGAATTTTGTCAGTCTTAGAACACAATTTTCTGCCCAGTCCTTGTGTTCTCTGTCAATCAGAATAAAATTTATTTAATCCACTAAATTAAAGGTTTCCTCATATGGTATTAAAGCAGGGCATCTGGGATAGGTGCTGCAATTAGCTGCACCACATAGATAGTTTTGTGGAACATATTACCACTTCCACATTTTCCATATTTAACACCAGGTGATAATCCAGGTCTGTTAAGTGTCTTCACCCAGTGCTCTTCGTGACGCAGTCGAATGTAGTAAAATTAAAGAGTCCTTCCCTTTGTACAGTAGCGTTATATAGTGAAATCATATTTCAAGTTTAAACATCCAGAAAAATCTGGGCTGATAATACCACACACATGAATTTGTAAGTGGAGAGGCCAAAGGATTAAGAAGAGGCACTTGGTGCATATATCTTCCAGTTCAAGGAAATTCCCAATGTGTGGGGAACAAGTGACCGGAAAGGAAGTCAGAAGGATTTTTTCTTTGGGAGAAAAGTTAATTAGAACCACAATTCAACTGTACAACTTCCATATTCAACAATTATTTTTAATATAATTTTACACTTTTTGTTTTAAATGTCAATTTTGTATTTTTCTCATAATGATTGATATTCCTACTCCCCCTACCCCTGCATTCACTAACATTTTAACATCCGTTTGATGATATGCTAATTCTTTGCAGCATAATTTCATTGCATCTTGAAGTCCGCAGCCATTAATTTAAATTTCATTTACAGATTACCTTTTAGAATGTTAACTTTGGCAAAGTGCTGATTACAAAGTTATTAGCATGCAGATTACATTAAAGTCCACTGATATTTTCTGAGATGCTTGTCAAATAATAATTCCACACTAAAGCAGAACCCTGATTTGAAAGGAAAAAAAAAATATTTTTCCTTACACATCTTTGATTTTTGTGTATTTGAGAGAACAAAAATTTGGAACGCCTTTGAGTGAGAGAATTAGTTAAATATACATAATTAGCCGATGAGTTATTTGTTTGCATACTTTATCACCTGTGAAAAAGTCTCTTCAGAAAAAATGCAGACCTTGATGGCTCATTTTTTTGCATGAGGTTAAGCGAAGCAATGAATTGAGAGTGATGATAATGAAAAGTAGAATGCATGAATATTCTTTTCATATCCTGACTACCGACGGTGTATTGTCCTTGCTTCATGTCAGGCTTCAGAGAAATAGTTTATGTTTACAATTTGAACATAGAATTATTATCACACCTAATTCAACCTGGAATTATAAAAGAGAAAAAGATAACACATTTTGTGGGATGAGGCCCTCAGTATTAGAAATGAGTATAATAATGGTAGAAGCAAAACTGTGGTTTATTAAAGGTAGGTTCAGGCGAATCTCTTTTTCATATATTAATGTAAGTAGTTATTGGAGAGGGTGGGTTTCCCCATGCACTTAGACCAGTATTGGTCCATTGTGCTTCCCTCTGTGATATTCTACCAGTCTCTATACCCTACTGATATTGGTGTGTACCATCAGTCCCAACCGAGCCAGTGAGTTCGGCCTCCACTGGCTTGGCGGTATCTATAATGCTTCCCCCATCTATCAGAGGCGTTAGAGACTACTGTTGGGCGGGAAACGTCCTTGAATTTGGCTCAGTGACCTCCTTTGGAGATATGAGGTTCTTTTACGTGCCGTAAACCTATGACACGGGACACACGGCTTAAAGTCCCTCCCGGAGGACTTTTTCCCTGAATTTTTCCACCCTTAAAAATACCTTAATGTAAGTAGTGTCATGCATTACCACGGTATATGTGCTTTGTGGGAAATATGGAAAGGCAAGATGATTTACATCCAAGAAGCATCTCCTTACCTTTTATGTTGCAACTAATTGTCAAAAAAAGAAGAAAAAAGTGGTTCAGAAGTTGACTGTGTTTACATTTGTAAGTGGTTTGCATACAAAAATCTAATGTTTATACTAGAGACCTACATGTGTTTCAGCATGCATCTCAAGTGTAATTCAATAGAGTGAAAAATATTTCAAAGAAAAGTTGTAGAGAAGAATTAAACACATTTTATGACAATATATTCCTTGCATGACTTNGTGTCACGTTTATTGTTGCCAGACAAATTAATTATCTAAACATACGTAAAGTCTTGTATTAGATTTTGGTTGTACACTACAATAGTGTTTTATCTAATTAAACAGAATATACTGATAAATTCTTTATTCACTATATATTTTCCATTCAGCGAATATATCAGTGATTTCTTAAAAAAGAGTTTGTGAAGCATGAGACAAAGATGTGAGAAAGAGATGCAACATTGACAGACCATTCTTTTAATATACATAACATTACAGTACGTGAGATACACAAAATCCAATCAGGCATCATAATATTTGTTATTTGTACTTTTAGAATGAAAAATTAATGACACAGTTGTATTTGGTATTGTCACTATCACACAAATAGAGAAGCTCAATACTGTCTGTAACAGTTCTTATTTCTTGAACCTGCAGTGTAATACAACCATATGACTGTACACATTTCAATTTACACTACCTCATGACATCACCAATTAATATTAATTAGAATTCTGCATAAACAATTACAGAGCTTGACTGGATTTTGAAATTAATACAGTATTTTTAAAATAGTTTTGTACCAGTTCCACATCCACTTTGAAATTGCACCATATTTCATCAAACCATTAAAACTTCCAAAAATCTTCCTATACAGTAGTTTAATTATGGTATTTGAAATGTTTTAAACTGGAATGTATTCTAGATACATATACTGTAGACTGGGCAATACTTTGTTTAGATTCCATTTGCATAAAGCCAGATAAAGGGAAGGAAAAGAATTGTCACTAAAATCATGTTATAACATCAGGCAATTAGGTATACAGTAGCAGCCATGCTAGTTATTTTATGCTTGTGAAGAGTATGCATAGTTGTCATTAATATGTATTTATAAAGACAAATCATACAAATGCAAACTTTAAGAGAGAAATAAACATGCTAAATGACATGGAATTTTGTTCAAAGCCAAGCAGAATGTGAGAACTCCTTTATAAACAAGGTCAGCATCTGTGGCTCTTTAACACACCTTTGTAGACTGCAGTAAATTTAGATTCATTGTGGCATTTGCTCTGAAAATACTTGAGTCAAGAATTGTATAAAATTAGAAGTTTCTCATTTTAATACTGCATCCCTCTTCTTTATTCTGTCACACCAACTGACCTGTAGATATAATCTCAACACAGCTTGCAAACTAAGATTCAGTTCATAACTACAGGTCTGAATTTTGAAAACTTTTTATTTCAATATTCTGTGATATGAGACTGTGCATTGACATTTCATGCAATGTGTCATGTGTGAAAGTCAGAGCACAGGGCCTGCTTTTGTTCAGTCTTTCCATACCTTTGTGAAGAGAACTGATTGTCTGTACTTGTACTGATACCAAATTCACCATGTCTTCACACAATGACTTTCAGTAAACATATGTAGAATACACATATCCATTGGTTATAATTATACTGATCATAAATTTTAAGGTTTTCATACCTTTGTATTTTAATAATTTGCATGAATAAAGGCTTTCATATTACAGTTTGCTGTTACTCATGTTCTGCTGATTCTTTTGAAGATAATTTCTGGGACCATTAAACTATATCACACTCGTAAGAGTACTAAAATTATCTTTCACTGTACTTAGTACATGTATGCCTATTTTAATTTAAAATTACATTTACGTATTCTGTTTATTCTTGTGATGGGGTACTGTTGGTTTAGTTTAAAACATTCATTTTATATTTTGTACACAGACAAAATAACATGCTAAAACATGCAGGATGAATAATTAAAGAATAGTAAATTGTAACATGAAAGTCTTATTTGATGCATCTGAACCCTTCAAAGCACAGTGGTTACTGTATGTACCACCTACTTCAACACTGAAAATCCCTAAATTTTGCCCACTTGGTATTTGTTTCCTGTGATTCTCAGAATAAGCAGTGATTATTTCCTTAATGTGCATTAATCAACTGGTCTTTATAATGGAGACCTGGTGTGTTCCCTGTGAGAGAGGAACCTTTTAGAAACTTAGAACATTATCTCTCGGTTTTTGGATCATATGGTCATAAAGAATATACTTCCATTTAACAAAATTAAAATTAATTCAAACATGAAACTTACTAATGGCTTTCTAAATTTTCTTAATTGCCTCCACATATTCTACCTACTGCTATTCTGTAAAATATTCACCACAGCATCAACAAGAATACCATTCAAACCAAAGAAATTATTTTAGAATCCAGTATAAAATAAATAGTTGTTAAAACACTTTAGACGTGACTAGACATTTACTATATGTGAAAAAAATCTGTTGCAAATTTGACATCATGGAATCACACATTAAATGTTTATCAGGCAAGTCTTCATATTTGTAATAATTAAGTTCCATTATTGTAATTTTTCACAAAAAAAAAATGGAAAGTGCCATATTGTAACACAAGAATAAGCTACACCTATGTGCACATTGTACTATTCAAAACCTCTTTTTTTTTTCTTTCCTTCTATTAGTATGCAGCAGTTTTAAAATTGTTTGCCATGCCAATTCAAACAGATTGTTACTACATTGCATAGATGACCAGATACTGAGTCAGAACATTTGGTATTATGGAAAATAAATTGCCTGGAAGTTGCATAATCATGTTTCATGATATATGATACTCATTTTCAAATAAAAGTAATGAAATATGCAAGTACAAATGAGGAAGTAGATTAAACTCATCAATTGTTCAGTTAATAGATCTACATGAAGGGATATACTTTTTCAAATAAATTATCTTTTACCTCTTCTTTAAGAGTTAATCAACGAAATAAGAAGAAGTTACTTACAAATCTCTTCACATTTGCTTTGTCATGGTTCTGTTCTTGTTTTCTGGTGCCACATCAGCTTACATACTAGCATTAGGCAGCACTTATGAACAAAGTATAGATTGCAATTCTGGCTTGTCTTCTTGACCACTGGACATCATTTCTGTGGCTAGTTTTGCTACTAAATCTTTTTCATCTGACTTTGAACACCTCCTGACAGACATCACGAAAGGTGAGTATTCATGGGTAGTGTTACATTTCAGATATTGATCCATCAGCAGCAGGCTGTAGGGTTAAAGATATTATTATTTTGACTAAGCAAACTGCAAGTCACCCACAGCTGAACTATTAACCATTCAATTACTGTTACAGTGTAACAAATCTTCTCACTGAACAATTAACAAATTAAATCATACAAATCCAGGACTGAAAAAACTAGAAAAATTTTAATCCTTGAAAATAAATGGACTACAATAAAAGAAAATCAAATCTTCTACTCATCAAGCCTAGATGCAAAAGTGGCTAGCAACAAGTGGAAATGTGACTAAACACAATGCACTACTTTCAGTCTGAAACAGCCTTTCTTGGTACTACTCACAAGACTGTCATATATTGGAGGTTTTGGTAAAACATGAACGAGAGACTCTGGTGGGCATTAACAAAACAGATTCTTGCTCAAATGTAAAATGACTCCCTGTACAAGCATCCTATTGCAAACCTTCACCAGTTCTTCCACCAGCCACCACAGAGCTGTTCCGTGTTATATTGTAACACTTCAGCCTTTCCAACAGATGACAAGTGTCAACTGCATTCTGCACTTATACACCTTTTCTGGGGATGGTGCCTTGCCTTAGTATATACAGATATTATAACCACAAATTTTTTCAGTCTTTAAGATTAGATATACCAAGGATGAGTAATTTTAAAATTTGGTTTTGCTACTTTTGTTCCATCTGCATTGTTGAAACAGCCACCCTCAAATACTTGATGTCATAATGCAACAAATAGAAAAAACCACAAATGATGAAGGAAAGTGATTTCCATTCTCTTTTCTCGATAAAAGTTAATGGAAGGTAAGAATTTTCAGAATTTACTAGAATAAGAGTTAATTTGTTAATAACCACAAATTTTTCATTCTTTAAGATGAGATATGCCAAAACTTGGTTTTGCTACTATCATTCCATTGTACTTTGCTCCAAAAATCTGCATTGTTGAAACAGCCACCCTCAAATACTTGATGCCATATTGCAACAAATTAGAAAAAACCATGAATGATGAAGGAAAGTAATTTCATTCCCTTTTCTCAATAGAAGTTAACTGAAGGCAAGAATGTTCAGAATTTACAAGAATAACAGTTAATTTGTTAACAAAATCATAATTTGATTTGTTTATTATTACCTAACTATTTCACTGATTACATGGAGCAGAATCCTCCATGAGAAGTTAATAGTTGGTCATATAGTCCAGACATGTACTGCTTTTTATGGAACCAGAAGTTCACTACTGTGTTCATAAGAGCATGCTACTGGTCCCTGTCCAGAGCCAGATGAATTCTTATCTACCGCTTCAGAAAGGATATAACATATGCTTGTGCTTCACTATGAAGGTGAAT